GTGTATTCAAGATAAAACCAGTTTTTAAGGCAGCTTGACGTCCCAGGCTTGTTCAGCACTGCTAGCTTACACCATAATTTTCCAGGGAAGTGAGTTTACAACTAATCACAGTTTCCTCCTGGTTTAAATTTCTATAATATTCTACTGTGCTGTGCTGCTGTAAGCATATGTGCTGTGTTATGCAGTTCAATATGCATGATATTATTTACAGCCACCCGTATTATGTTATACAGCCAAACATGAATTCTCACTATAATTTAGTTGGTTTCATGTTTCAAAAGTGCTACAGTGCTAGCAAAGGTACTGGCATATATATATATATATGTATATATATATATATATATATATATATATATATATATATATATATATATATATATATATATATATATATACGCATATATATAGTTTATTTAATAATATAGCACATTTTGGCAGTAAGGGTTCTTGACGAGACCTATGAAATTATCAGTACTACTGAACTGAGTGAAATTTACATCAGTTATTCCATCTATCATTATATTGATTAGCCTACATTCTCATATATCATGTTTATTTACATAAAAAAATGAATATAGTTTTTCGGTCGACAGCAAAACATTTACCAGTTCGTTATAAACAAACATCTCAAATATGGCTTGGATGGCTGATATGTGTGGGTTCAAACAGCATAAACGCTCGTTACCCACTCGTTGGTGCCACTGTTAAAATAGTTTAACTTTAGCAGTCTTTTTTTATACATGTCATAACGTGTGAGTACAATAATTACTAATTACATTTATTATGCATATTAAACAAAGATATAGGCAGTATACAATTAGTGAAGAAACTAAGAAAATAATAATTAGGTATTGAAGAGTCTCGTAACCCCAGCAAACACTCCCAGCAAACAGTTACTTATTACTGACGACAAATTGGTTTAATTGTGTTTTTACATAAACACTTGTCTATACATTATTTTATATTTGTTCAATTTATATTAATTTTACTGTATATCAATATTCAGACGTATAGTGACATGCATGACAGAATCGTTAATTAAAAAGATAATGTACATGTTTATGATCGTTTCAGACAGCTTGATAGTTCGTTCCCGACTTATCGACATGTTTTAATGTAGCTTTCCTCATCAGCCTAACCGAGATAATGTATAGAGTTTAGTCATCAGCTACAGAGTCCTTAAATGGTGGCGCTGAAGCTCGCTCCAAATACTGAAGCCCAATAGCCCAAATACTGCCCGAAACGCTTTGCGTAATAGTGGCTTTAGGCATTGTATGTACTAGCTCTGTCTATGAATCCATCAACTTTTGTATTTTCACCTTGTATGTATGTACTTTACCTGAATAAATATTTGTATTTGTATTAATATTAGCAGAGGTTTCATCTTTGGTGCGTGGGGCGTAGGGCGTCCAGTTGTTGTCAGGGTGTGCAGGGGGGCCCAGCTCGCCGGCCTTATTATGCTTTGTCGCGAAAGAAGTGCTAGTTAACTGATTATATACGTATGTTAATACATCATGCGTGTTAGATTGTGATGCTGGATTTGAAATGTTGTTATAGGTGTCTCCGATTAAGAGTAGAGGGCAAGCCGTGGTTTTGTTGACCTGTTATGGATAAACAAGGTGTGTTTGTCACGGCATGTAGCTAGTTTCTCTTCACTTAACCGTAATATATTATCATGTTAAAGCCAGAAGCAAAAGTTTTATTGTAATGTATTAATCATTTAAGAGAATTTACCTATTAAGTGAAGCATAAATCCGCGCAAGCAATAGGGAAGGAAGATGGGACCAGCACTCTCCTGGCGGAGGAAATAAAAGGTAGGCAAAAAAAAAAAACATTAAATATCGTAGTCATGTTATCCCTCCCTTGGCCCAACCACTTGGGTTGGACGGTCTCGCTTCATGCAGGTCGGCGTTCAATCCCCGACCGTCCTCCATGTTTACCCTGACCCATTGCTATATAGTCGTTATCGCTTAGCGCTTTCCCCCCTGATAATTCCTTCCCTCTCCCACGCTATTGAAGGTAAGTCAGGCACCTAATATAATTATTATTATTTATTAATTATAATTATTATTATTATTATCTACCAGACCATAGGCTAGGAAGAGTTCAATTGATGTCGTTGGTCATATTTTGTGATCGATAGCGCGAAGACACATTTATTTGTTCTTTCTGTGTTTATAGTAGTAATTCATTATTATTACTGTTAATTCAGTGTTCTGTTAATTCCTTACATCACAATGCATTGGAGCGAAACACATTTGTCTATTTTTAAGTGTCAGGCTTTGTGACCTTTTGTGGATTTCATTGATAAGCTTCGTAATTTGACTTTTATAAAGTGTGTAGAGTCTGGTTATGTTGTTGCATTGTCTTTATAACGGTGGTGTCTTTACAACGGGAGTGTCTTTACAACAGTGGTGTCTTTACAACAGTGGTGTCTTTACAGCAGTGGTGTCTTTACAACGGTGGTGTCTTTACAATAGTGGTGTCTTTACAACAGTGGTGTCTTTACAACGGTGGTGTCTTTACAACAGTGGTGTCTTTACAACAGTGGTGTCTTTACAACGGTGGTGTCTTTTACATCCTAGGACGCTACCCAGTTGCCTAACGTCAGGGGGTACCTATTTTAGTAATGTTTGGTGAAGAGATGCATCAGCTGTAAGGAAACGTGCTGGAAAATTTTGCTATGTTCGACCATCGAACTCTGGTACAATCGTGTTGTAAATCTAATGTTCAAGTAACCACATGGATGTATATGCAGTATGTATACAATATATTTCTACAATCACATACACATGCACATAATAATACAGTAATTTCTAATTAGTGCTGTAATATTTGAACGTTAAACTTTATATAAATAGCCATCAACATGAGTTTGTGTCTCCATAAGTAGCAAAGTACACATTTTACAGTTTCTCTTTATATTACAAAACATAAGTGAGGTCAGGGGGTGACACGCAATAATGCAAGGTAAAAACAAGTGTTCATCATTGTTATATTGTCTGTGACACAAGATTTCCAGTTACGCAAGTGCTTTGGTGCAACAAAGAAATCATAGCAACTGAGAGAACTTTAGTACACGATATTGGCTTATATGATATGTATGGATCTTTAGTACTCACATGGATCTTTACCACATTTATTGATCTTTACCACATTTATTGATCTTTACCACATTTATTGATCTTTACCACATTTATTGATCTTTACCACATTTATTGATCTTTACCACATTTATTGATCTTTACCACATTTATTGATCTTTATTACATGCATTGATGTTTAGCACATGGGTGGAACTTTAACACATGCATTTGTTTACCACATGCATGAACATTTAGCACGTGCATTGATGTTCAGCACGTTTATGAAACTTAAGCACTACTGCGGGAATCTTAAGTACATGCCTGGACCTTAAGTACACGCATGTACTTTTAGTACATGCGTGGACCTTGAGTACACGCATGTACCTTTAGTACATGCGTGGACCTTGAGTACACGCATATACCTTTAGTACATGCCTGGACCTTTGCTGCATGCTTACACCTCTGGTGCAAGACACAGACCACTCGAGTGTAGAGGCTCTCGTACAGGGGTAGGCGTTGGAACTCTTGCCCTTTGTGGTTTACAATTTCGTGTCTCAGAATGTTCGTTTTAAAGCAGTTTCAAGTTTCAATGGACATCGGGAAAAAAAAAACAATGTGTTCATTTGTCCGACGTAATGTGAGCCAAATTCTTTGTGCGAATGTAGACAAAGTGTGGGGCCGTGAACGTGAGTAGTTTACCTCTGAGAGTACTGCTCACTCTGTAAATATGTAACTTTTGCCTGACCAGAAACGTATAAACCCAAGTTTCCCACCTAATCTATCGAGGCCGATGGCATATGAAGGTCAGGACACTTGTGAACTTCATATGCTAATAGTACATTTCACTGGACCTGTGACAGCACGGCTGTTGTTCTTGTTGATGTAAGGTGGTCGACGACCCGGGGGGAGGAAGTGACACTTGTTGATGTAAGATGGTCGACGACCCGGGGGGAGGAAGTGACACTTGTTGATGTAAGATGGTCGACGACCCGGGGGAAGGGAGGTGACACTTGTTGATGTAAGGTGGTCGACGACCCGGGGGGGAGGAAGTGACACTTGTTGATGTAAGATGGTCGACGACCCGGGGGGGGGGGGAGGAAGTGACACTTGTTGATGTAAGATGGTCGACGACCCGGGGGGGGGGAGGAAGTGACACTTGTTGATGTAAGATGGTCGACGACCCGGGGGGGGGGGGAGGAAGTGACACTTGTTGATGTAAGGTGGTCGACGACCCGGGGGGGGGGGGAGGAAGTGACACTTGTTGATGTAAGGTGGTCGACGACCCGGGGGGGGGGAGGAAGTGACACTTGTTGATGTAAGATGGTCGACGACTCGGGGGGGGGGGGGGAGGAAGTGACACTTGTTGATGTAAGGTGGTCGACGACCCGGGGGGGGGGGGAGGAAGTGACACTTGTTGATGTAAGATGGTCGACGACCCGGGGGGGGGGGGGAGGAAGTGACACTTGTTGATGTAAGATGGTCGACGACCCGGGGGGGGGGAGGAAGTGACACTTGTTGATGTAAGATGGTCGACGACCCGGGGGGGGGGGGGGAGGAAGTAACACTGAAGAACAACACACGCGTCACGTGGTAATGACCGTCAGCTGAGCAGCGTAAACAGGCAGCAAAATTTGGGCAAATGCTCATTGTCTCTGGGATGTTTACATTTTACGGAGCTCCATCAAACACTTGTCAGTATATGTTCCCGTCCTTAACCTTATGCAGATTCACTCGAATAGATTAACGAACGTAGCAAAGCAACACGCTCGGTTAATTGATATTCAGAAATGATTAAAAGGTGCATAATAAATGAATTATGTGCCTCTGCAACCCTTTCCAGTACCGCCCACGGGATGGGTATGGGGTGCATAATAAATGAACTAAACTAAACTAACACACTAGACCACAGAACAAGTGTCCAGGGAACCCTCTTGAGTGTTGCATATTCCGGTGATGATCCCTTTTGGTGCTTAATTGGTGCTATGTAGATTAAAGTTAACTTAATGGCTGGTGAGTAAGGTAGTGTCGCTGCGTAAACAAGTCTCCAGAGGCTTGATAGACCCCAACAGTACCAAATTAGAATCAAAACACTCCGGGGTAAATATCAGAATTAATAAAAGCGTAGGGATCCGGGAGGAAGTGGTTGCCAGCTAGGCCAGGAGGCTTAGTACGGCCTCCTCGCTTCCTATTACCGCCGCCCAGCAAATTGAAGAGTCCGTTGTGCCTGCCAGACTTGCCGATGTGCGCGAGGCTGGCTGTAGCCAGGCACACCACCACCACCACCACCATCATCTTCACCACCTTCATCTTTGCTCCACTTGTTGAGTATCTGTGCAAAATGTTGTGTGATTAGATTTCAAGGATTTCATGGCACTTCTTAAAAGTGAATAATCTGGGATCCTCTCTCGTTACGGCCCCTCGTTCATATCGTATCGGCCCTCGTTCGTTCAATCGTTGGCTGCTCAGAATTATTGTATAAATTATTATCTCTGCTTAATAAGTCCACCCATCCTCCAGATATGAGAGGACCTGTGGCTACCATGGATGGAATTCACAAAATATGGACTGTTGCACTAAACAATTATTTTGTACTAATGCAATTCTGAAGGCTATAGCAAAAAAATAGGGAGTGGAGTAACTGAACCTAACCTGTCCTAGGCCTAAATAAGCAATCCTTGACCTAACACACGTAGTCTTAGGCCTTCTTTACATATATATGTACATTACTAGGGCTAGAAAAGTTAATTTCGATTGTTGTCTCCCTTTTCGGGCCCTGTACAAAATCGCAAGTACTAAAGTTTTCCTGGATGCAGCATACCAAATTTTGTACGTCCATTCAGAGTAACCATAGATACAACATTCACACAAACAATAGGTACAATATTCACAGTAATCATAGGTGCAACATTCACACTAACAATAGGTACAATATTCACAGTAACCATAGGTACAACAATCACACTAACAATAGGTACAATATTCACAGTAACCATAGGTCCAACATTCACAGTAACCATAGGTCCAACATTCACAGTAACCATGGGTACAAAACTCAAACCTTGCCACGCCACTGTGAGGCGTCTCCCAGCATCAAGCCTTGTGCAGGCGTCGAAATAAGACAATTAGACAACCTACCCCATGCTACCCGCTATCCTATGTTAACTAGACTAACATTGGAATGTAAAATATAGAATATAATTAATAATTGTGTACTGTATGGGTTTGTGAGCCCCCCTGAGGGACCTTATATAGATGAGAGTAGAAATAGCCTAAGCCACTCTATCCTTTTTGAGATGTAGTTTCTTTTCTCAATAAACTTACTTGAACTAGACCCACTGGTCTTGACCAGGCTTGTTTACCTCTTTTTAATTGTACAGTAGCTTTAGTGATATTTGACAAGATCTAACTAACGAGGTGTGTTAGGCTCGGTGACAGCCAGCCAGGAAGCAAATCTAAAACTGAGAGACGAAGGTACGATGTTGGGAATAGTGTCTGTTTGTTTCGTTATAGCTAAGGTGGGACGCGTTAATTTCGTTATAACGTGAATTTCATGATAACTGAAGTGGGACGTGTTAGTTGCATTATACCTAAGATAGGACGTGTTAGTTTCATGGTTTCGTTATAACTAAGGTGGGACGTGCTGCTTTCGTTATAACTAAGGTGGGACGTGCTGCTTTCGTTATAACTAAGGTGGGACGTGCTGCTTTCGTTATAACTAAGGTGGGACGTGCTGCTTTCGTTATAACTAAGGTGGGACGTGCTGCTTTCGTTATAACTAAGGTGGGACGTGCTGCTTTCGTTATAATTAAAGTGGGACGTGCTGCTTTCGTTATAACTAAGGTGGGACGTGCTGCTTTCGTTATAATTAAAGTGGGACGTGTTTCCTGTAGTTCTCTTTCCTGTAATAAAAGAGTTGCGCATCTGGCAACTTTGCAAGTGACATCACTTAGTTACGCGTCACTTTCCGGAGCAAATGATTAGATTAGGTTGTTATGTTATCCTGTACTCAGATAGCGTAACCCATCCACCAAAATTCTGGAAACTCTAAGTACTATGAATAGATCATTCAAAATATGGACTGTTAGACTCCCCAAAATCATGTTCACATTTTGTACTATTGAAATTATAACCATAAACCTAACCTAACCTAGGATTTTTAAGGAGCAGTCGTAAGACTAACATACGCAGCCTCATTCCTAATTTAGTACATGTGCTATACTAGGTCGAGGCAATTAGGTTTTGTTTTTTACCTATTTCTCGGGCACTATACAAAATTAATTGTACAAAAGAAGTGGATGACGGGTTGAGAAGCGCACTTCGGTATGCGGCTGTAGCCTCATAGTGGATGTTTAGATTTAAAGAGCGCAGCTCCTATGGGATTATAAATAACTCAAATGCCTATGGGACTATTCAAATAGCACAGTGTCATATGGGACTGTATCCTTTAGCGGTAGCACCCTATGGGACTATATCTAATTAGCGCAGCTCCTTATGGGAGTTTAAATTGCTCTTCGCCCTGAGCCTATGGGCATGTTCACAAAGAAATCACAATGGAGTGATATATCAATGAAAATAATTTTGATACAATGGAGTGACTCGAACTCGCGTTCTGGCGAATCCCAGACACCTGCCCCAATGGGTCTGTACTTAAACAGCGCAGTATCATACATCTCTATCCGTGAGAGTAGTATCAAACCACATTAAAAAATTATCTTGAGTTACGATCATTTACAAGTATGGTGAATTGCCCCCAAAAAAACAGCACAACGATGTCTTAACTACAGCTGACATGGCACTAGGTACGATGCCAACCGCGGTGTTGTGAATACTTACTCTCGTTACGATACGTTGCAAGCAGTAGGTACGACGACCGGCTCTTCTCCCTCCCTAGCGATGTGAGCTGCTGCTGCTGCAGGGGTGACAGAGTGGGGATGTGTTGTCGGGCCAGCGGAGGGGGGATGTGCTGACTATGACGGTCTGACCTGCTCCTTTGGTGGTACATCGTAGCTGCTGCCATCTGTCACCATAGGAAGCCCTGCCACGGTATGGCAACACCTCACCATACTACAACAGGGTTTCGGTGTCATGTAGCTCGCCATGCTATTGTGTTCATCGCTAGTGGAGTCATTTTCTACCGCGAGCACAATCATGTTCACTGTAAGAACAGCTGTGTTTATTGCAATCACAGGCGTGTTCACTGTAAACACAGCCATGTTCACTGCATCATAGCCATGTTCACTGCAATCATAGCCGTGTTCACTGAAATCATAGCCATGTTCACTGCAAGCGTAGCATTTGTTTACTGCAAGGACAACTATGTTCCCTGTAAACACAACCATGTTCATTATATACACAGCTGTGTTCACTGTAAATACAACCATGTTCATTATATACACAGCTGTGTTCGCTGTAAACACAACCATGTTCATTATATACACAGCTGTGTTCGCTGTAAACACAACCATGTTCATTATATACACAGCTATGTTCGCTGTAAACACAACCATGTTCATTATATACACAGCTGTGTTCACTGTAAACACAACCATGTTCATTATATACACAGCTGTGTTCGCTGTAAACACAACCATGTTCATTATATACACAGCTGTGTTCACTGTAAACACAACCATGTTCATTATATACACAGCTGTGTTCACTGTAAACACAGCTAATCGGAATTGATCCTTGGACACATTGTAACTAACTGTTGCTGGTTTCGGGAATTAGTGCCCCTCGCGGCCCTGTCTCTGACCAGGCCTCCTGGTTGACGGTATGGCCACATCACCAAGCTGCGGTATGGTCAATACTGTTGACTATTGTCACGGTAGACAATACTGTCAGCTGTGACAGTATTGCCACATCTCAAACCACAACTCTTACCACATCCCAACATTCAGAAAGTACCTTAGACACCTAACCTTGAGGAATCGTAGACTATGCAACGACGTATGAAGTGTTTGAAACGTACCAGAATTTACTCGGGCAAGATATACTTGAGTAAATCAATTTAGGGCCAACGATATCAATGCTGCATCAACGTCCTTTTCCCGGTTTTGGGAGGTAATGGGCAAGCGACGATGATGTAACAGTAATTCAATATTGATTAAACATTATCCATATTTTGGCCACTAGGGAGGGAGGAAATAAGGATGGGAAATGGAGGAATAGATGTATTGGTGGGAGAGAGAGAGAGGTGTACAGGACTAGGCCGGATCGCATCACGGTGTGTGCAGTACTCAGGTGACGTAAGAGGAATGTAAGGTGTGTAGGTATGAGTGGGTGTGTGACTGTGAGTGGTGGGGTGAGAGAATGTGCGTGACGAGGCCGAGTGGTGTACACAAAGGCTCTCACACCTGGCACAGCTAGGGTGTGGCGCCGCAACTCACAACTAAACCCAGCTGGTTCTGGGTCTACCACGGGAGACGTCTCTCCCAGCCTACTCAACACCAACCTCTGTTGATCACTACTGTTTCAACGTGAATGAGAGACGGTTCTAGGAGTCGTGATCAGTAGGGATCTTGAAGCCCCCTAAAAAATAAATGCATAAATATACGGAGTAAAGCAAATAGGATACTAGATTTATTTTTAGAAGGGTTAACAATAAAACATCTAATATTCTTATTCCTCTGTGTCTTGCTCTTCTAAGGCCCATTTGAGATTATGAAGTCGAGTTTTAGCTTCCGTGCTATAGAATTCCCTTGATTGGATACCGAGAACGATGACCACGTTGATCCATGGAATTTTAGAAACCTTCCTAATGAAGAGAACACAAGTCCTAAATTGACATTCTCTACTGTAGATAGACGAAGAGTAAGGGGTAACACGATTGAAGTGTTCAGATGAAAGAAAAGGCATAAGGGGGAAGTAAACAAAGGTTTTAAATATACAACACAAAACAGAATTCAAAGTAATGGATATAAAATTGGATACACTTAGACACGGGAAAGACCTGGGTAAATACTAGTTTGGAAACAGCGTTGTCGATTTATGGCACAAATTACCGGGCAAAGTAATAGACGTGGTATCGATGGATTGTTTCAAGCGTAAGTTAGACAACGCTATGCGTATTAGTGGCTTTAGGTATTATATGTACTAGCTCTTATCTATAAATCCATTATGTTTGTAACTCTTCGTCAATGTATGTACTTTTACCTGAATACAAATTTGAATTTGAATATGTGAATGAGATTGAGTGGCTATAAATAGGAGCTGCTTCATATGAGCCAATAGCCTTCCGCAGTTTCATTTATTATACTTCTTTTAGTTTTCTGTTACTAATCTTCTTGCATATGCTTAAAGCAAGATCAAAATAGGCAATAACGTATCCATTTTTTAAATTAATAAATGTTCAGTCTTTTAAATGAGAACAATTAGAATTAAACCGAACGTGGCTTTCCCCTTGTTCATATATAATAACTTTTATTTTCCGAGGGTTCATTTACTCTCGGGTTTTATCTGAGGGTTCATTTCCCATCCGGTGTTACCTGAGGGTTCATTTCCCATCGGGCCTTAAGTGACGTTCATTTCTATTCGGGACTTATCTGAGGGTCCATATCCCATCCGATCTTATCTGTGGGTTCAATTCCACTAGAGTCTTATCTCAGAATTAATTTACCATCGGGTCTTATCTGAATGTCCCTCATTACATTCAGATATGCTGCTAAACACCAATTGTAAACCCTCAACGCTGAATGAATTTGAACAAATCCCCAGAATCTCTGATTCACCGGATTGGCCGCTTAGGTCAGGCCTGGGCGGAAGGGGCACAGTGAGTGAGCATGGCAACAGACGTGTCAATCAATATGCCAAATTCCAATGAATTTTATACAGCAGCCACGAAGAAATTGTGCTAAATTGCCCGAACCTATTCTAATCGAGGACCCACGCGTAGAAAATGGGACATCGCGTCAATTTTTGCGAAATTTGATTTGTGTTAATACATCATATTTTGACGTTGGGGGAATTTATTTTTTTCGTCAAAATACGATGTATTATGCGTGAGGACACGTGACCAGCCACCAGCTGTCCACGATATATTTCTATATTGTGTATTTTCGTGTTCAATAATTGGTCGTGGACTTTGGTAATGATATTTATTATCAAAGAACATAGGAAAAATTTGATTGCTTTTTTATCATTTAATACAAATAAAATGAGAAGCTAATTTTGCATTTTATAAAAATAAGGATATTCATATAAATAAACTATGCAAATATTCGTAAATATATACAAATACAAGATTTTACATAACAAAAATACAAATGATAAATATTTACATTTCCTCGCATGTTACTTAAATTTAACCTAAACATACAATACAAAATAATAGGAAATTGGGTGACTTAAAAGTTAATATCACAGGCATGATGTGAGCAGGGAAGCAAGAGTCGACAGTGGTCAGGTGGCGCCGAGGTGCCGCTGCTCTCACCAGCGGCGTCTGGTAATGATGTGTGGATAACATATAAAAATGTTTCAATGATAGTGAGTTTGCTCCGCCTCTGACAACTGATGAGGAGCGAAAGATGGCGCCTCCAATCCAGTGTTTGTTTACGTTATAACAATTAACTACTGGGGAATTACAGAATATTACACTGCATCGTAAATTTACTCGGCTAAATAAATCGTAATCATTTTAAGATAAATTATAGGTGCTGTGTAATTTATACTAGGCTTCTAATTTATACTAGGCTGCTAATTTATACTAGGCTGCTAATTTATACTAGGCTGCTAATTTATACTAGGCTGCTAATTTATACTAGGCTGCTAATTTATACTAGGCTGCTAATTTATACTAGGCTGCTAATTTATACTAGGCTGCTAATTTATACTAGGCTGCTAATTTATACTAAGCTGCTAATTTATACTAGGCTGTTCAATTATTTTACGCTGCTAATTTATTCTAGGCTACTACTCCTCAGGATTGGTGATACACCAACGGTATTGGCATCTGCAGCATATGATCTGACTGCAGCTCCAGCGCCACTGTTCACTGGGGTTTAGTGGTACGAACTGCGAGAAGCATATAAGGGCAAGGGTCATTTGAATGCCTCTTGACTAGACTAAAGTCCGTGTATATGTCACCAGTCGCGAGACAATACGTGCATTTTGCTCTTGACTCTGCAACACTTCCTTCCTGTTTGTGTGTAATGGCAGCGGCCAGCTGCCATTAATGGCAGCATGCCAGCTGGTAGCCTCGTCACTGTCAGGTTGATGATGCAATGTTGAGCTATCTGGCTCCCGCTCTCAGGTTGATGATGTAACGTTCAACTATCTGGCTCCCAGGGTGAGGTGGTGATAAGGGTGATGCTCAATGTTGAGCTGTTAGACATGCTCAACTATGTGGCACTCATGCCCATCAATATCACTAGCTATGATGAACCATCTGACATTCATACTCGTCAGGATGGCTAAATAGGTTGAGCCGTCTAGCACTCAAACTAGCCAGGATCACTAGGCATGCTGATGCCATGTGGCGCACACTTTGACCCACAAGGATGACGAAGGGTGTTAAGCCGTCCGGCCCTTACTAACACTCACAAGGATGGGGAGGATTGTAATGATATCATTCTGGAATGATTAAGACTGATCAAGATGAAGTACATAGAAGTTCTGATGTCTGCAGGTCAAATGTCACGTTGTTGCTCATTTTTCTAATGCCTCATTGGAGGCATTTCAGGAGGGCGTCGAGAACTGTCGCAGCGTCCAGGAGGACTTCCAGCAACGTCACGGGCATCCTGAATGACTTCCAAGACTGCCACCGGCGTCCAAGAAGATGTTCAAGACTGCCTCAACATCTAGGAGGACTTCTAGAACTGCTTCAGCGTCCAGATTGGCCTCCAGGACTGCCTCAATGTCCAGGAAGACTTCCAGGACTGTCTCAACGTCCGATTCCAGTGATGAAGTTGGGGTAGACAGGGAAGGCCCTAGAGAACTCTGGTCTGACGAAGGCGTAGGGGTCCGGGTACTCGCGGGTGCCAACACCGAATGGCCTGAAGCGTCCACGACCACGGCCGAACCCAATCAAAGGCGTAGCGTATACGACCAGGGCCAGGGAGACCAGCAGCAGCATCGCCACAGCATGGAGGAAGTACATCTTTAAGGTTCTGTAATAAAGAATAGTTAAGATCGTCATTATTATGAGGAAAGTATTAGATGCAGTTTTGCTTGCAACAAATGTTTATTAATCTATAGCTATAAAAAATTATGTTTGTGTATTTGGCTCTTTATCTTTTCGTGGTTGGAAGTCAGACGCTTGCGGTTAGCAGCATATCTCCTGTGCCAGGTGAGTACAGCGGGCTCACCATAGTCCGTGCTGCTTGGAACGTTTTGTTCCGAATAGCTGAATTTAAAACAACAACAATTGCGGGTAGCCTCATCAGACTCTGCAGGGTGACAGGGGATGGTCATAGGCGCGCCGGGGTCCATCCCGATGCGGCCCTCTCTGGCGTTAAATGACACGACCCGTCCACCTCAGTAGTACATGGAACTTTGACCTATAATCCCTTAATACCAAAAACTAATGTACTAAAAATTAAAACGACTCGCAAAATCAGCCCAAAATAAGAGTGTGGGATGGGACGGGGGGGAAGGACTCAGCCACTCGGCCCGTCGGGGATTGAACGCCGACCTGCATGCAGCGAGACCGTCGCTCTACCGTCAACCCAAGTAGTATGAAGGCAAATGGTACCAATATCCAGTCTCGCTAATGCCAGACTCCATCCTTACTATCATTCATCCATCATATTATTTGCTATATGATTTAATGTTAGTTTACTTTATATAGATTATTACTGAGGGCAGTATGTAGTGAAGACAGTTTTAGCGATGAAGGAAAAGTGGAGAGTAGTGAAGGTGGTGAAGGGTAGGGAAGATGGTGAAGGGTAGGGAAGGTGGTGAAGGGTAGGGAAGATGGTGAAGGGTAGGGAAGGTGGTAGAGAGAGAGAGAAGATAATGGAGGGTAGGAAATTGGTCAAGGGCAGGGAAGGCGGTGAAGGGTAGGGATGTCGGTGAAGGGTAAGGAAGATGGTGAAGGGTAGGGAAGATGGTAGAGAGAGAGAAGATAATGGAGGGTAGGAAATTGATCAAGGGCAGGGAAGGTGGTGAAGGGTAAGGAAGGTGGTGAAGGGTAGGGAAGACGGTGAAGGGTAGAGACGGTGGTGAAGGGTAAGGAAGACGGTGAAGGGTAGGGAAGACGGTGAAGGGTAGAGACGGTGGTGAAGGGTAAGGAAGACGGTGAAGGGTAGAGACGGTGGTGAAGGGTAGGGAAGGCGGTGAAGGGTAGAGACGGTGGTGAAGGGTAGGGAAGACGGTGAAGGGTAGAGACGTTGGTGAAGGGTAGGGAAGACGGTGAAGGGTAGAGACGTTGGTGAAGGGTAAGGAAGACGGTGAAGGGTAGAGACGGTGGTGAAGGGTAGGGAAGACGGTGAAGGGTAGAGACGTTGGTGAAGGGTAAGGAAGACGGTGAAGGGTAGAGACGGTGGTGAAGGGTAGGGAAGACGGTGAAGGGTAGAGACGGTGGTGAAGGGTAGGGAAGACGGTGAAGGGTAGAGACGGTGGTGAAGGGTAGGGAAGACGGTGAAGGGTAGAGACGGTGGTGAAGGGTAAGGAAGGCGGTGAAGGGTAGAGACGGTGGTGAAGGGTAAGGAAGGCGGTGAAGGGTAGAGACGGTGGTGAAGGGTAGGGAAGACGGTGAAGGGTAGAGACGGTGGTGAAGGGTAGAGACGGTGGTGAAGGGTAGGGAAGACGGTGAAGGGTAGAGACGTTGGTGAAGGGTAGGGAAGACGGTGAAGGGTAGAGACGTTGGTGAAGGGTAAGGAAGACGGTGAAGGGTAGAGACGGTGGTGAAGGGTAGGGAAGACGGTGAAGGGTAGAGACGTTGGTGAAGGGTAAGGAAGACGGTGAAGGGTAGAGACGGTGGTGAAGGGTAGGGAAGACGGTGAAGGGTAGAGACGGTGGTGAAGGGTAGGGAAGACGGTGAAGGGTAGAGACGGTGGTGAAGGGTAGGGAAGACGGTGAAGGGTAGAGACGGTGGTGAAGGGTAAGGAAGGCGGTGAAGGGTAGAGACGGTGGTGAAGGGTAAGGAAGGCGGTGAAGGGTAGAGACGGTGGTGAAGGGTAGGGAAGACGGTGAAGGGTAGAGACGGTGGTGAAGGGTAGAGACGGTGGTGAAGGGTAGGGAAGACGGTGAAGGGTAGAGACGGTGGTGAAGGGTAGGGAAGGTGGTGAAGGGTAGAGACGGTGGTGAAGGGTAGGGAAGACGGTGAAGGGTAGAGACGGTGGTGAAGGGTAGAGACGGTGGTGAAGGGTAGGGAAGACGGTGAAGAGTAGAGACGGTGGTGAAGGGTAGGGAAGGTGGTGAAGGGTAGAGACGGTGGTGAAGGGTAGAGACGGTGGTGAAGGGTAGGGAAGGTGGTGAAGGGTAGAGACGGTGGTGAAGGGTAGAGACGGTGGTGAAGGGTAGGGAAGGTGGTGAAGGGTAGAGACGGTGGTGAAGGGTAGAGACGGTGGTGAAGGGTAGGGAAGGTGGTGAAGGGTAGAGACGGTGGTGAAGGGTAGAGACGGTGGTGAAGGGTAGGGAAGGTGGTGAAGGGTAGAGACGGTGGTGAAGGGTAGAGACGGTGGTGAAGGGTAGGGAAGGCGGTGAAGGGTAGAGACGGTGGTGAAGGGTAGAGACGGTGGTGAAGGGTAGAGACGGTGGTGAAGGGTAGGGAAGGTGGTGAAGGGTAGAGACGGTGGTGAAGGGTAGGGAAGACGGTGAAGGGTAGAGACGGTGGTGAAGGGTAGAGACGGTGGTGAAGGGTAGGGACGGTAATAATGATGATGGGTGTAGATGCGTCACACGGCGGTGCCCTGGACGTGAAGATTAGAAGACACTGTCTTCATCACTGACTGTCTTCAGTGATGAAGACAGTGATGATGGTTACAGTAATGTGGATGACCGTGTGCACTGTAGATCATTACAGTATTGAAAGCTGCGTGTAGTGTAGAGGGTTACAGGGATGAATAGTGTGAACAGATGTGGCCTCCATCACCTAAGCTAAGCCTGGTACCTCCTCTATTAATACAGAAAGAAACAAATGTTTATTATGAATAATATGCTCAACCGATGTTTATTATTAATAATACAGCAACCACCATTTTAATTACTAAAACCTTTTTATGTTATTAATAATACAGTAAAACAAGTATAAAGCAAGTATCAAAGGGAGAAACAAATCAGCATCAAGTGAGAGAGAAATCAGCAGTCACAGCATCAAGGAACAGTGTGAACGAGTGCCAACAAGGAAGGTGCCACTTGTCACCTCGTTACCACCACCTCACAATGCTACAAGATTAATAGGCTAAACACAATCACCGGAAGCCCACCTAATTGTTCTCGTCGTATGCGTGGTGAATAAGGTTGAATTAATTTATATAGTACTGTATATTCAAATATATATATATATATATATATATATATATATATATATATATATATATATATATATATATATATATATATATATATAATATATATATATATACAGTTTTTTGAAGGAACTGGGTTCTAGGCTCATTGAAACAACAAGGGACCCAAGAGCTGCAAGCTTTCTTTTCCAGCGCCTCAGTGTGGCGATACAGAGGGGAAATGCGCACTGCATCCAGGGTTCCTGCCCGCCATCTGAGGAGCTGGAGGAACTCGACAACCTATGATAACCATCTTTGTAACCCATATGTAACTCCTTTTTTGTAACAAAGTTCAAATAAAGTAAATATATATGTGTACATACAAAAGAATGGGGGTGGTAGGAGAAGATAATATTAGTGTTAAGTGAGAAACCACAAGGTCTCCTCTGAATACTTTTTATTTTCTTCTCCGAGGCTATGGGTCCCCACATTGGCACCAGAGGTGGTACCCTCACAAATTTATATATATATATATATATTTTTTTTAAATATGGAAGGGAGTACCACCTCTAGCTGGAAGAAGGGGGACCCATAGCCTCGGAGGAAACCACGCATAACGCATTAGAGGGAATGTTTAGATCCCCTCCAATACAGTTTCTGTGTGCTTTTCTCCTACCACCCCCTTCCTTAAATATTTTTTGTGCTTTATTATGCATTTGATGGTTACAAGATATACATGGGTTGATACAAAAATAATAATGCAAAAAGGTGCTTAAAGGTTATGGATCTCTTGAAAAACACAACAATGGGAAACATTGATGAATGTCACAGACGGGTTCGATCATTGTTGCAAGTCAAACACTTCTTCGAATTCCTCTGAAGTTGGACTTGTGCCCAAGACGCAACAGGCATTTCCCCTCTGAATCGCAACACTGAGGCGCTGGAACAAGAAACTTTTTGCTCTCTGGTCTTTTGTAGCGCTGATCAATTTGTCCCCCAATTCCTTCAGGAACTTCAATGCACATTTTCCCCACGAACCGAGGGTCTCCGAGCCGATCGGAACAAAGCTGTAGCAGTGTGCTAGACCTCTGTATTTAATAATTTTCTGCGATTCCCTGAAAGAAGCAGCACCACCGCTTTCACGTGTGCTGTAGTGGAGGTAGGTACTGGCCAGTGTGGCAGCGCACATGTAGTCCCATACCACTTGCTTACCATCCTTCCAAGGTAGCAAGGTGACCCCATCAGGGCGCTTCTGAGGGTCGTTAGGTCTGGATAAGTGTGGTTCTCTTTGTGCCGGGCAGCGGGCTGTGGCGAGGCTCCTCTTGATGATGTCGTTGACTTCTTCATGTCTTGCAATTTTACCCTGTGATTTACGACATACCAGACCATATATATACCATATATAATATATATATATTATATATATACATGTATATACCATATATATATATATATAACCAGACCATGTTATATATATATATATATATATATATATATATATATAACCAGACCATGTTATATATATATATATATATATATGCAACAATGATCACAAAAACACTGATCCAAGTATGCAGAATAACCACATATGAAAAATAGAAAATGCTTAACGCGTTTTCGGCTAATTCGCCTTCATCAGAGCAAAGTAGAATCAACTTTGCTCTGATGAAGGCGAATTAGCCGAAAACGCGTTAAGCATTTTCTATTTTTCATATGTG